GAAATAGTTGCACAACATTCCATCTCCTCTTCCAGTACTTTTAAAGCTTCTTTTTGTCATCTCTTTTGCAATGTTCCTTGTGTTATGGAGGGAGTGAAATAGACAACTTGATCATTTCCCTCAGTCTAACGCTCAGCATTGAGACACTATGTCACAGCAATAATTGTTTTTTCTTAGGAGCTGGGCAGTTATTAATCCCTGTAGTTCATCACTTTTATTAAAAAAAAATAAAACTTTCCCTCCATAACTAAAAAGTTGTGATGGCTAATCTTGGTTGTTAACTTGACTACATCTATAATAAACTAAAATACCTGCAGCTGAGCATTCCTGTGAGAAATTTTCTCAATGGGACCATTTGAGGTGGGACAACCCTCCTTAAATGCAAGCTATGCTTTCTGGTTGTGGCCCACAGCAAATGACCTGGAAAAAGGAAATGTTTTCTTTTTTTCTACTTGCCCTCTTTCTCACTGGTAAGTTCATCTGTCCTGTTGCTGGGGCAGTTCTTCACTGATGTTAGAGTATATGTTTTTGGGATTCCAATGCACTAACAGTCTCCAGGCCAGTTCCACATCTTTTGAATTTCCATTAGCTATTTTTGTCTGCTGAATAAATAATCTTTATCCCAAGCATACCTTCTTGAAGGGAAAAGAACATATTCTACCCGCTCTGTGGTGAGAATTTTTCATCCTAGGGCAAGCTTAATCTCTCTTATCTGCATTACTTGATAATTTATGTATTCCCAGAGCTGTTGTGCAATCTTTAAAGCCTTTCTTTATCTCAACAATGCAGCATTTGACTCCCTGTTTTCCCCTACAGGAAACATGACTCAACACAAATATTGCCAAATTTGCTTTTGGGTGAACCTGACAGACCTGTTTGTGTTACCTGATTTCACCCATGTTTGACTGTGTTATTACCTTATGAGCCAAATTTTTATGTCTATGTAAATGAATCAGATATGCCAAAGCCTCTCCTGTCTCTTAAAGGTAACATCCCAGTAAGGGACGCCACAAGCCACCAGAGCCCTCTCTCATAGCTGTGTCCCGAACACAACCTTAGCTATCCCAGTGATGTGGGCATCAGGCATCACCTCTTAATGTCCAATTCCCTGTATTTTCTTTTAGTCCCTGATATTTATGGGACCCCCATCCAGAGGTAGCCAAGTATTCCTAGTGTCTCATCAGAGACTGGTTTCTCTTGTACTTCCTCAGGTTGTGCCCTTTTCATCTCAAGAAAGGCTGAGTATTTGTATTGCTCTCTCTGTTTCTGTGACGATCAGAATGATGATCCCCTCTGATGAAGTCTCACAGTCCTGTGGAGTTGGCCCTGAGAGCCCCTTTCATTGTTTAGTTAGTTTTCTCCCAATTAAAGCAATTCTGAAGCTGAGTATAGCCTGGTTAGCATAGATTTGTTTTTGTTTTTGTTTTGTTTGTTTTGTTTTTTAACATTAAGGTCCTCAGGCCAGCTAGTTTTATGTCAACCTGACACAAGCTAGAGTTATTTGGGGACCATGCAGGGAAGCCTGTGGGCATTTTCTTGATGATAACTAATGCAGAAGGCTGCAGCTTACCGTGAGTGATGACACCTTGGGTTGTGGTCCTGGGTTCTATAAAAAGCAGACTGAGCAAGCCATGAGGAGGAAGCCAGTAAGCAGCAGTCTTCCATGGCTGCTACATCAATTCCTTGCTCTAGGTTCCTGGATTGATTTCCCTCAGTGATGGAGTATGACCTGGGAATTGTAGGATGAAATAAACCCTTTACTCCCAAGTTGCATTTTATTGTCTATCAGGACAATAGAAACTAATTAAAAAACAAAGCCCCTGAGTCCCATGTATTTCCACACCCATTTTTGTAAAGATCAGACCTAAGAGGCATCTTCTATTCTCCCCTATCTGCATTATTCATTTCTTCTCACAGGTTCCAAGAGTTTAGCCAGAAAGGGTTCTTTGGCATAGGTCTAGTTTATATTCTCTTTCCATGGCATCTTTCAAGTTGCAAAACATCCATTTAATTCTCTCCGTTTTTCCTGTCAAGTCAGAGTCTAATGTAATAGCATCCACATGTCTTTGCCCTGTCCCTCCATTATATGGGCAAACTCTATCTGAAAAGACATCAGTTGCATTTCTTATTATCTACAACAAAAGCCACACAACTGACACCACAGCCTTCTTCTTATATCATACCAATTTTGCTACTTAGGGATTGCAATATATTCTGTAGTTCATCAACATTTTAGGGACATTTCTTGTACTTTCATGGTGGACACGATTCATCAAGAGGGCATGTCGCTCCATACCACATAAAGGAAGATGAATAGCTCGAGATTTCCCCCAATGGGTCTTCATTTTCCATTGCAAGAAACATTCAACTGTCAAAATAGTAAAAAGGGATACTATGTGTCTTAGGGTTACTGTTGCTGTGATGAAACACCTTGACCAAAAGCAGCTTGAGAGGAAAGGGTTTATTTTGCTCCTTGTTCCATGTAACAGCTCATCATCAAAAGCAGTGAGGGCAGGAACTCACCCAGGGCAGGAACTTGGAGGCAAGGCCTGACGCAGAGGACATGGAGGGGGGCTACTTACTGTTTCCCATGACTTGCTCAGGTTGCTTTATTTTATTTTTTATTTTTCAAAACAGGGTTTTCTCTATGTAGCTTTGTAGACCAGGCTGGCCTTGAACTTGCAGAGATCCACTTGCCTCTGCCTCCTGAATGCTCGGATTACAGGGGTGAGCCACCACCAGCAGGCTTAGCTAGCTTTCTTATAGAACCCAGGACCACCAGCCCAGGGATGGCATCACTCACATTGTGTTAGATCCTCCCCCATCAATCACTGATTAAGAAAGTGCTCTATAGGCTTGCTTATGGAGGCATTTTCTTAATTGAGGCTCCCTCCTCCTTGATGACTTTAGCTTGTGTCAAGCTGGCATAAAACTCGCCAGTACATATCATCCTACACCACACAGGGAAAGGTAACCATAGATGTTACATCCTCGCATGAACGTCTCAAAGTATATTACAGTGGCCATGCAACCGTTCTTCCCAGCTCATCGATGCTTCAGTTGGGCCCTGTTCAGGTCGAAGTTTAGCTGTCTTGACTTTAGCTGAAGAAATGTAAACATCTATTCATCCCAGATACTACATTGATGTAAGTCCAAAGAAATGATAGTATGTATAGCTTAGGGAAACAGTGAGTTTATCAGAGTCACATATAGGAGAACAAGTGAGAGGGTACTAATAGAAGTATGTGGGATTCAAAGACAGCATCAACAGAACAATGAAAACCCAGCCCAGCATGGAGGAGGAGTCATGAAAGCTTCATCCATGGAGCTCCCTGTACAACAGGCAGCTTGCCAGTCAGAAACTGTTTTCCTAGTATTTGTAATTTACTGCCTTATCACCTTCTGCAAGGACTTTGAAAATCTTGTGACTTCCAGGGGTTAACTGAACCTTTTAAGTTCCATGTGTTTCCTGAGTTTTGTAACTTCCATGTCCTTTCTGAGCCTTGTAAATTTCATGTGTTTCCTGAACCTTGCAAGTTTGTTTACTTCCTAAGATGTAGGAGCCTCTCTCATCTTCTAGAGGGCAACATTTCATTTGCAGGTAGTAGCTATATAACACTTCAGAAGAATCAAAGACAGATCCACCCAGAGTCACATTTTACAAACAAAACTCTAGGAATATTGGCATAGTTTTCAACCCCATCTTCTTTTCCAGCTCCAGGAAGAGTTTCCATATGGCAACTAATTAGGAATCCCTCTCTTTGAGACTGCAATATTTCCTCAAATCTCTTAGAATACCAGCAGGATGATAAAAAGGCTCAAGGTTTAAACCTGGCCATGGTGCTTCCCAGTCCTTCAAATTTGGACAAATGATTAACAATTTGAATCTCAATTTTTCATCTACAAAGTATGATACAAAGTTCTCAATTACAGATTGTTATAATGAAAATCACATTTTTAAAAATACTTGTCTTCATAGATACTGTAAAGTATGAGGTCTAGAAATGTGGCTTTTTAATTTCAGGAAGAACAGCGAGACTCAGGAGCTATAAATTTATACAAGGTTTTTTGCTTTTTTGTTTGTTTGTTTGTTTTGTTTTGTTTTTTTCGAGACAGGGTGTCTCTGTGTAGCTTTGGAGCCTGTTCTGGCACTCGCTCTGTAGACCAGGCTGGCTTTGAACTCACAGAGATCCACCTGCCTCTGCCTCCTGAGCACTGGGATTAAAGGTGTGCGCCACCACCACCCTGCTAATTTATATAAGTTTTACGACTGACACCAGATGTAGTAACCTTTTCAAGAAAATGTGGATTGGGAGGGTTAGCGGGAGCATTCTTGGATCCTGAAAATGTTCTGTGATTAACTAGTTACAGTAGCTGGTGGCACAGAAGTACACATACATAAAATTTATTAAGCTGCACACTTAAAATTTGTATATTTTACATACATGTCACTTACATCTATGTATGTACAGATAACAAATAAAGAAGCTATCCAACTTGTCCGGGAGACAGATTTTTTTCTATATCGTTTTTTATTTATTAGAAAAGCATCTAGCTTTCGCTATGACATGCCAGCAGCTCACTACCTTGCTAACTGCAGTTGTCTGTCTTTTGGATGTGGCCCTATTTTCGAGCCAGCCTGGAGCTGACAAGCATATTGTGAGGGTCACGCTTCATCACCATTGACAGCAGGAGATGCCACCACATGCCTTTCTTTGGCAGAGAGGCTCCGAGAAAACCAGGCAGTGGACTGTGCTGCCTGCCCTTAGGCTGGGAGGCAAAGCCCTGGAAACAGGAGGATTAAACAGCCTCTCAATTTAAAGAGACAAGGGGGAGGGGAGTGTGGGCTGCACAGTTTATAAATAGACATTGCTCCAGGCTGCCTGATGATGAAGTGGTTGTTTGGTAAATTTTTCTTTTCTAAGGATGCCATTATCAGAGACCATTTCAAACACCGGTTTCATTTAGTGCTCTGGGTAGGATTCAGCAGATCTTGGGCTGTATTTCTGTCAGTTTTGGGGGCAGGCCTTTAATATTTTGAGTCACATTTCCATGGAGCACAGAGATGATGATGATGATGATGATGATGTGTCTTTTGCCAAATGGATGAGCAGCTTTTGGGGTCACAGCTGGAGAGACAAGGACGAGCGAGGACTCCGGGACCATCACCGACCACATGAAGCCAGCTACAGGAAGGCTTCCCTGCCCTGCCCAGTGAGTTACCAGAAAGTCAGGGGGAGCCAGAGTGGCAGGAAGGGGGGGGGTTCTCTTAGGAAATATTTCAGTTCTTTGGCTCAAATTAATATTTCCAAACCTTTGTCCATTCTTATAAAAAAATTCTTTGTATGTGTTTGAGTTGCCCTTTAAGAGGACTGGTTTTGTAAGGTTTAAGTAATAGTTTCTTCATTTTCAGTAGCCTAAGATATCGTGAACTGTTAATGTCCCTGATAAATCAGAAATCATACCACTGAGTGACAGTATATAGGCCCAAAGAGAGGAATTTGTAGTTGTCCTGTGTAGGTGTTGTGGGCCAATGTGTGGCTTCCAGTTTTGAAATAGTGAAATTAGTTCATGTATATGACGGTCTTTAAGGGACCGGAGATTCCACATAGCAAATCACACCTTTTCTTTTGGCTGCCATTGCTTTTATGATTAGAGAAGGAACAGCCCTCGCTCCCTTCCCACAGCAGCCAGAGGCACAGGGCACAATGCCAGAGGGAAGCTCCCAGGAGCGGGTAGGCAGGCTGAGCCAGGTTAGGACTCTTTGGCAGATGGCCAGCACATTCCTTTCTTCAGCTGCTGTGATACGAGGCTCCACATAGGCATTTACTTCACAGGTACAGCGCAATAATAATGCCATTTCTTTTTCACAAGTCACTTAGAGTTCCAGCTGGTAGAGATAGCTTACCAAAATCCAGGACAAAGTAAGCTCGTGGGTAAACCTATTTAAGGTCAGCTCCAGGGTCCCAGATACACAATGACTAAGGTAAAGTGTGCAAGGAAATTACTTTGGTTACCATTGATTGGTCAACAGCTGGAGGGATGAGACTTCTCTGAGACCCGAGCATGTCCAACAAGAATGGTCAACGGCAAAGGTCTGTGGGAGCACTTCCTCACATCCGTGTCCTTAGGTGAAGGAAAAGCGGGACTGGATGTTGTCTGTGAGACTCAGCTCCAACTTTCCGTCTCCGTTTTAACAGATATGCCTGCTTGGTGTGCTCTCACGCATTCAGCACAAAGAAATGAGAACCAGGAGTACAGTTAGTTTGCAGCTTCCAGGTACCGGAACCAGGCACAGATAATGAGAGAGAATTTGTGATTTACTATTTGTTGCCGCGGCCTCCTAGGGTCACAGGGAGTGTGGAAATAAAAACAATCTGCTTTACAAAGTATAGCTTCCCGAATAAACTTGAGTTTATTTTACTTTTAAACACATATAATCCATTTTGTTTAGAAAATTCGTGTTTAGCTTTGCTGTTTTTTTTTTTTTTTTTTTTTTTTTTTGGGGGGGGGGGGGGGGGGCGGTGGTGGTGATGGTGGGGAGACCACAGATTTATTGTCAACAGCATTTCTCAATGATATACATATAGTGTATTCTGCTTATGTCTAATTTGACCATTTCCTTAATTTAGCCTGGCTAGAGTCTCTAAGCAAATAATCTGTTTTGTAATTAGCAGATTAATATGCCTGTATGTACTTTAACAGAAAGACAGAGAAGAGGCTGTGGGAACAGAGCCATGTCGGAGGACAGAAAGTCTAAATGGCCGGAGTTTCAGAAAAAGAAGCATGTTGATTCCCCTTTCTTTTTTTTTATTTTTTTATATATTTGAATTACAAACAAGATTAATTACATGACTATTCCAGTTCCCTTCTCCCTCCCTTCCTCCCCTACTACTCCCCCCAACTAAAACCCTACCTATCATATGTCCTTTCTTCTAATCTACACCTGACTCAAAATTTCTGCTTCCTCATGACCTCTGCATCCTTCCTTTTCTTCCCTTCTCACTCTCGTAGCTTCCTCCCCCCTCTTCCCATGTTCTCAATTTGCTCATGATTCCCCTTTCTTTAAATATATAATGCTGCAACATGTAAGCCAGTCTGTGCTTTGTTATCCAAATATGCTAGAATTCTTCTTATTTTGGAACATTGTTGCCGATTTTCTTCTAAAGTTAGTTCGCAGAGAATTTCACACAGTATGTTTTGACCCCTTTTGCCTTCTTTCCTGTAACTCCTCCCACACCCACCCACACTTCCCCTCCTACCCCACTTTGTGCCTCTTTCCCCCATCAAGACCGATCTGCAATCTGTGCTGCTCAAATGTTCTTGGATGTGTGGCCTTCCACTGCCAGCTTGACCAACCTATCAGAGGCGGCTCTATAAGAGAAAACGAACCTTCCCTCCTCCAGCAGCTAAGGCTTGCCGATGGCTACTTGGCTCGGGGAGGAAGAATGTCACGCTGCCCTCTCCCCTGTCACCCTTTATGCTGGGATTCAGCTTATCTTGAGCTTTCACAGGTTTCTTCATGTTGTCATAACCACTGAGTTCATATGTCGGTTTCTCTACTGTGACCAGAAGACAGTTTCCTTGAAGTCATCCACCACCTCAAGCTCTGAAATTATTTCTATCCCCTCTTTCACAGGGACCCTTGAGCTTTTGAAGGGGGAGGTGCGGTATATATTTTCTATTTAGGGCAGGACATTCTGAAGTCAGTTATCTTCCGATATCTACTGTAGGCAATGGTGGGTCTCTGTGTTGATTGTCCTCAACTGCAATCAGAAGCTTCTCTGATGAAGAATCAGGATGCATTAATCTATGGGTATAATAATAGGGGTTAATGATTAATAGTTGTAGGTTCTCTCCTAGGGTCTGTGGTCAGCCTAGCAGTTGGTTCCTGTCCCAATAATGGTGCCAGGTATGGGTTTCATCTTGGTAGGGTGTCTTAAATCCAATCAGAGAGTGACTGATTACCCTGTGCCATTCATCCCACTATTGCACCAGTGGACATGTCTTGTCAGGTCAGTTGTTACTACAGCTCACAGGGGGAAACATTTGGATAAGATTAATGATTATTTTTCTTCTTCAATAGCATGCCTTCCAGCACTGTGAAAATTAGCCAGTAGGGTATAGCTTGCAGGTGAGTACCAGCTTGATGGCTTCATATTCTGTATCTCAAGTATGTGGTGACCTCAGCAATAGGGCCTTACTGTCTAGTTCTGGACAATACTGGTCTTCAGTTTTTGTGTTCTGTTTTAATGAAGATAATTAATAAGGAGGTACTTAAAATATTGAGGTATTTATTTTCCTTTTTTTGTTTTTTTTTGTTTTTTGTTTGTTTGTTTGTTTTGGTACCTTCATCATGAGAACCCAAGCATGGACTTTGAAGATGGTGTTGTATTGCAAGTTCAAAAGGTTGGGCAAGCTTACCCAAAAATGCATGACATATGTCCTGTTCATGCAATGCCTGTCTCTTAAACCCTGAGTGGAAGAGGTGGCTACTGAGCCTATCTACTCTCCACCTTTTCCACGGCACCAAGTACTGTGTCTGACCCACAGCAAATAGACTAATAGACCTACCCCAGGGATCTCAGCAGAGTTAAAATTCTAACCATTGTGATGAGTGAGAGTAAGATTCCAGATAGGTGAGTTGCTTGTTAGTCTTGTAGCCTGGGTGGTGAAGACATCAGAAATTCATTTTCTTGGGGTTCTGGATCTTAGGGTGTCTCTGCTTTGGTTGAAGTGGTACCTTCTTTACTGGATCTTCTGTGACTTCTCTATAGTGAGCAAGTCCCTGTCTTCCTGTGCACCCACGTTTCTTCCTTTCACAAGACACCAGTGAAGTCAGATCCTTCTAGAGTCCCCCTTAACTAAATTGCTTCTGTAAAGGCCCTACTGCTAAATACTGACACATTCTGAGTTGGTGGAGGTGCCATTGTTGGAAAGAGTCTCATTAGAGTCGTTAGAATTGGGAAAAAATATGAACTCTTTTACACAAGTACGGATTTGTGTAAGAAGTATGTAAGTCATCCTTTATATATGTTATGCCAAGTTCGTGAAACCCCCAAAAGACCACCAAGGAGCCGACTCACTGATGCAAATGCACAAGGTTTAATGTTAAGTTACAAGCCTTGGCAGGGAATCTGTCCAGCAAACTGGCACAGCAGCTGCAGGAAAATCGCACCTGGCCTCAATTGCAAAGGGTTTTTTAAGGGAAAAACCACAAGTAGGGTTGTACGTGCCTTGGCTGTTCAGGATTGGGTAACAGTAGGTAACCTTTGGATTCATTGATGTGGGGGCTAGGGGAATTTCAAAATTGTTTCTAACGGTTGCCCACAACAACAGTATGATGAGAAGATGCTATTTACCAAAAATAGTCATTGTCTGACCACCTGGATGGGGTACTTTGACCCGGGGTGGGCATAGTTTAGGTGCTCCTTGGAACTGTTTATGGCTCCTTGGCTGGAGCTGAATCAGCCTATTGCCACGAAGGGAATTTCTCAAGGTGGCTTTTTCCGAGGATGGAGTTAACTCCATCCTCTCCAGTTTACCTTACTCTTACAATATACAGGACTTTCTTGTGGGTTTTGTACATTTGGCTGTTTTGTGGGGAAAGTCCCAAGGTAAATTGTTAGGCAGGGAGGGTATGAAAGCATCTCTCCCCTGCCTTGCTTGCTGAATTTTGTCTGGGTTTGGTGTGAGTGGTTCTTTATCTTATTTTATCGAGTTAGGGCCTACTCTGTTACTCTGCTGGCTTAGAACTCACAGAGATCCCCATGCCTGTGCCTCCTGAGTGCTGGGTTTAAAGTTGTGAGCTATCACACTCTGCTTTTATCAGTGATTTTCACAGCCCTTAGGCAAGTGAAGAGTGATGGTAGTGGATGAGACGGCTGTAGAGAGGACTCCTCCCATAGCACTGTCCTGTCCAAGAGAGGAGAGCTGGAGAACTCATAAAGACCACAGCGGCCAGGCCGCTCAGCTGAGGTGCTGCAAAATGAAAAGATAACAGATCAGAGTTGTTGTTTTGGTTTGGGAAAGGGAAAGCAAAGGAAGTGGGAGTCGATACAAGTTGTAAACTCCCAGGAGTGCGCATTAGGCGAACAATACTAATCTAATAAAAATGATGATGATGGCTTGGACTAAAGAAATGATTGGTCTTGAGAGACCCTTGAGAAGGGGAATCTGCTGACTGCACATCTGAATGTTGAGGATGACTCCTC